GCTGGAGCAAACGCCTGGTTTCCTCCATTTGACGATCCAACATTGCCTGGATCATCGCTTGCACTCCGGCCATCGTTATTGGTCCGGCAGCGGCTTCCACAACTGGTATTTGCTCGATCACGGGGGTTGGTGTCCGTTCCCATTTGCGTTTACGTTTCCGCTACGGGTCCTTACCATCTTGATCTATATACCGAATAAGGTGATTTAGATCTTTATTTAGGAGAGACGTTTTAAATCGTCCTTATCACTCCGAAACGTTTACATGCTAGTTCTAATATCGTAGTCGTACGTTTAGAATCCTAAACACATAAGGTTTCCAGATCCGGTCGGCAACAGACCATAGATCCGAACAAAATAACAGCATATCATGCAAAAGCATTTAGCACATAAAAGCATTTTAGGCACAATTCCTAAAATAAGCTAGTGCTCACACCTCACAATCATCGCTTAGCATTCTAAGTTTAAGTCTAGAAATCCTACAAATTCCTAGTTCGCTTAAACTAATGCTCTGATACCAACTGTGACATCCCCAAAATCACGGCCAGAAAAGACCGGTTTTGTTTATACTTTATTTCAAAATCAGAGTTATCTTTTAATAAAAGGGTTGCGGAATTTGTCCCAAAACAATAATATGATAAAGATTTATCAAAAGCATTTCCATAGAAATGTATTTCATTAAAAGACTCGGGATGTCATGTTCGTACAGATCAAAAGTATAAACAGTACAATATAAGCCTTACTACATTATTTCATATCTACAGGCCTATATCCGTAATCCCTCGTCCAAAACATCACACCTATGCTCATGCGCCACTACCTGTAATGCATAAAACTGAGTGGGTCAGGCTTGGGAGCCTGGTGAGCACATAGGGTTTTCAACCACAAATAAGTTTATTAATTTCATCAATCAACAATAACCCGATTACCCGTTCCCGTTATCCTCACTTTACGTCCCTAAACACCTATCATAAGGGACCTAGCCTAAGGATCATCATCGGGACGGACACTACTGCTAAGGGGATTCCTCAGCAATAAATGTCCTAATAGGCAACCATGTGGGGGATGGAGTACACCGGTGAACACATCGTTCACAACACCTACAGGTTGCGAGCCTGCTAGTGTTCCACTGGACTGTCTAGAAGAGTCCGTGGTCGTCATCTATACTCCGCTAGATGACTGGATCAACAACAACAACATCGAGGCCTCTCATCATTTTATCACACATCACCTATTACATCTACCCATGTTTTACCCCAACATTTTCGTAGATATAAAATACATATACAGTTTAAATCATTGAAAACATGTATAACAACGTTCATCTAGCATAGATAGCAAGTATTCAGATAATATGCACACATAGCACGTAATTTATATAAAATACTTCATATCTATGTGTAAGTTGAAGTAACTATGCACTCACCGGAAAAGGTGGTGATTCCGAACTCAGACAGCGCTTCGCTTCTTAAAAAGAATTTTTCTTCGACGAAACCTAGTATTATTACCACTAGAGTTTAGTTTATTATTCGTCGAGACTAATTAATAGTCTAGCTATTATTATTATTATATAAGCGTCAAAAAAATACTTATATAACCCATAATAATAGCCCAAGTATTTATTATAAGTTCCTAATAACGTTACTATAATTAAATAAAAGTTATATTAAAAATAGCGTAGGCGTAGCTCACTTACAGCGGGTTTTATAGAAAACCGGGCTTTGCTTGGAGCAGCGTTCCCGAGCCGAAAAGCTCTTCTTCTCAGAGCCTTCGAGCACTCCGGGGCTTCCGCCTCGTGCTAGGGAGGTTCCCTAGGCTTTTCGGGGGATTTCGGGGCTAGAGAGAGGTTCTAGAGAGAGAGAGAGAGTAAAGAGAAGAAAGAATGGGAAAGGTGTGAAGAAAATGAGGGTGGGAGAGGTGGTATTTATAGGGTGAAATGTGGCTGAACTTGGTGCCACATGTCACCATCTGGTGGCAAGCCTTGGGGAGAAAGCAATGGCCAAGATTGTGCCACATCACCCATTTTCGCACAGCACACTTCCGACTTCTAAAATCCGTAACTTTCACATACGACCTCCGTTTTTGACGTTCTTTATATCCACGCGTAGGTAATAATAAGATCTACAACTTTCATTTTGACACCGTCAGCTAATTCTCGACCGATCTTAAATTTAACAGTACAAGGAGATTATACTGTTAAACGTCTGCGTAAAATTAATAACTTCTACATACGGACTCTGTTTTTGTCTGTCTTTTTACCGTTGATTTCCTATTAATGAGATCTTCAACTCTCATTTACGTTGCGTAAGCCAAAAACCGCTCGAACTAAAATTCGAGTTTCAGGCCGTGCACTGCTAAGCCGAATCTTAGAAAAATCATAACTTCTTCATACGAAGTCAGATTTGGGCGTTCTTTTTATCGATGTTCTTAGTTTAACATATTCTACGACTTTTGTTTAGATTGCTAAGGCTAAAAAGTCTTCTATCGTAAATTCACTATTTACGTTTCCCGGTGTCGTGCCGGTTTTGTCGTAAAACTTCGGCGGACCATAACTTCTTCTTTATAGCTCGGATTTCGGCATTCTTTATATGCACGGAAACCTTGAGACATATTCTACAACTTTATGTAGAGATATCGGGATTATCTCACACTTTAATTTTGACGCTCATTTTTATTCTTTATTAATTATACATTTATAATTAAATAATAAACACATAAACACACATAATTCACATAATACTCAAATATTTCATATTTATTACTTCAAAAAGAGTTACAATAGTTGACCTAGACTATTACATTGACAAAAATGCTTAGCCCTGAAAACCCGGGCGTTACACAATTCCTCGGATTCTCTACGCAGAATCCTTTGCTTTTCGAGTTCTGCAATGACCGCTGGGTCCACAGATTCCCCTTCCTTGGGAATTGGATTATCTGGAATTGGTGGCAGTTTTGGGTCCAACACAAAGGAGAGCTTCAAGACATGAAGCATGAACTTGACCTTTTCGGCCCAACGAGTGTAGTTTTGACCATCGAATTGGTCAAGTTTGGCAAACTCTTGGTTCATGAAGTGGAGGCTAGCAGTAGTGTCCATTAGTCTGTTGATTGATCACAATATAAGAACCTTTAAGATTGTTGTATATCAAATCAAAAGACACGCAAGGAAACCGACAAATAATATTGTGAATTATATGTCGATTAGTTGCGAATAATAAATTCAATTATTATTATTAAATTTACCAAGTTTCGTCCGAAACCAGATCTATCCTTCTCGATTAGATCTGATTGTAAGAAAGGTAGAAGAAGACTGTCTTGTTATTGGACGAATTAACCACAAGACAGAAAAGTAAAACCGACCTATTGATTGCTGACTTGATCTTGAAGCAACTGCACGGATCAGATTCCTGTCCTTAAAGGTTCTTACTTCGCTTGTATTGGCTGTAAGTAACAGAGTAAAACCCCAGGATTTAATGCAGCTAGATCGATATTCCAACAGCACTGGAAATCGACAAACACAAAGCGACTACTCAGAAACTAGAAGAAAAACGCAGAGAGAGGGAGAGAGCTTTGAGAATTCGTGTGTGTTCTGAATGGCTCCTAGAGGGCAATATTTATAGGTATCGAAACCCTAGAAGGCATAAACCGGGCCCCCATAGGCCGGCCCCAGAAACCCTAGGGCGACAGCTTGCTCTCCAAGCAAGCCGTTTCCTGATCCTTCTAGAATGCCCCGATGACTTATCCATTACGAAGTCAACGCCGGTCAACCACTTGACCGGGTCGGTCAAATCGGCTTGACCCGAACTCACCAAAAATAAAAGCTCCTCAGCTCCCAGCGACCAATGCGTCGTGCGCCTAAATCGCGACATTTCGCGCACTCGCGGCGTCGGCTAGTGCTAGGCTAGGCTAGGCGCGCGCGTGGGCTTGGCCCATTCCTTTGATCCACTAAAGCCTTTGAAGGCTTACCAAGGGAATAGGCTTATAAACCCTCAAATGTTTCTTCTCCCCACCAATGTGGGATACAAAGGAAATTGCCAACTTGCAATTCCTTTATATATATATATATATATATATATATATATATAATATATATATATATATATATATATATATATATATATATAAAGTTCCAACAGATGATGTTTTGGATGAGGTTGATTATGAAATGTTGAGGCGTCAAATAAAGAAACAAGATCAGATAACAAGAAAGGTAATGTGCCTTCCAAGCTTGAAAAGGTTCTCCTTTCGTTATAAAATAGGTCATAAAATCCAAAACATCAATGAAAAGTTACTTAAGATCAATACAGAAGCAGACAGTTTAGGACTACAAGATGAACACCCTGCAGGCCCTGTTCTAGATCATCTCTATTGGAGAGAGACTGTTCCAAATCAAGAAGAATTTAAAATTGTTGGGAGGGATAATGATAAACTCCATATCATTGAACTTTTAACCCAATCAAGAAAAGAAGAAAAGCTTAGCATTGTTCCCATTGTGGGAATGGGCGAGATTGGGAAGACCACTTTGGCTAAGTCGGTCTACAATGATAAAAAGATCGAGCAACATTTTGATGTTAAAGCATGGTTGTGTGTGTCGGTTAAGGTTGACATCAATACACTTCTTGCCAAGATCTACGAATCTCTTGACAAAAAGAAACCTACCTCGGACTTAAGGACCAATTTAATTGGAAGTCTTAACGAGCAATTGACATCAAAAAGATATTTGCTCGTCTTAGATGACGTTTGGATCGAAAAAAGGCCATACTGGGAAGAGTTTAGGAGTTGTATGCTAAATGTAAGCTCACAAAATGGAAGTGGCATTCTTGTCACTACACGGAAGCTTGAAATCGGAACTCATGATATGCACATGGATTCATGCCTTTTAAAAGGTCTTTCCGATGATCATTGTTGCGACATCTTCAGAGAAAGAGTGTTTGTGGCAGGCACATCATCCTCTCTAGAACTGGAGGAGATAGGCCATGAGATTGTAAAAAAATGTGGTGGTTTACCATTGCTATTAAATGTAATAGGTGGCATGTTGGCACATTACAGTGACATAGAGAAGTGGTTGGCCATCAAAAATAGCAAAGTTTTGGATCTGGAAGAAGAAAGGGATAGAGTTCAAAAGAGTTTGGAACTGAGCTTTGATAATCTCCCCAATTCTATCGTCAAGCAATGTTTTGTATATTGTTCCATCTTTAAGAAAGATACGGTCATGGAAAGGGAAGAATTGGTCCGGATTTGGATGGCTTTAAGGTTGGTTCAAGCGGATGAGGAAAGAAACAAGGAGATGGAGGATGTGGGGAATGATATTTTTCAAATTTTGGTCAGCAATTCGTTGTTCCAAGATGTTGAAAGGGATGAGTATGGTCACATCACTCGTTGTAGCATGCACGATCTGGTGCATGATCTTTCATTATTACTTTCAAAACATGAAAGCCTATGTCTGGAGGATGCGACAAATGATGATATTGCATGTATGCCTCAGGTTAAACATCTTGCCTTTTACCAAAAACAGAACATTAAACTGGTAGCAGAGGTTTCTATGTTCATTGAAAGGAATACAGAGGCTAGAACTTTGCATACATTGTTCATCGAAGGTGAAGTTGATATGAAATTTCCATTTCAACGATTAAAGTGCATACGAATCCTACAACTCAAATGTTATTTAATACGGGAGTTAGACGATTCAATTGGAAGGTTGGTGCATCTCAGGTATCTGGATTTGGCATATACGAAAATCCGTGTTCTTCCTGAATCTATTGGTAAATTATACCACTTGCAAACTCTAAAATTGTCTGACGACATTGAGCAGTTTCCAGAAGCCATAAGAAATTTGATAAGCCTGCGATATTTCCAGTGTGACAAAAACATTCCTGCCAATATCGTAGGACAACTGACTTCTCTTCAAACTTTGCCTTGCTTCATATTGCTTAGAAGGAAGAGACATGGTATAGAAGAGCTACGCCATTTGAATAACCTTAGTGGAAGGCTTTGTATCTCCAAACTAGAGAATGTTAGGAGCAAAGAGGATGCTTTCAAGGCAGACTTATCCAGAAAGAAAAATTTATACGAGATCGAATTGGAATGGAGTCGGGACCGTGGAGGTGCCAACAAAAACGAGAAGGATGTATTAGAAGGTTTGCAACCCCCTAGAGATGTAAAAGAATTGGAAATTACAAGATTTTATGGTGATAATTTTCCAGAATGGGTAATGAAGATGGCAATCGATATCGAAGGGAAATGGACGCCCCTTGACAAGCTCGTGTCAATCACATTATATGACTGTAGGAGCTGCCTCTCTCTTCCGACGCTTGAGCACCTACCACATCTTCAGAATCTTCTGTTAATACAAATGGACAGCTTGACATGCTTAAGGAGTTCCGATGTTATCGGGTCAACGAAACCTTTGTCTCTATCGTTGAGATCGCTCGGACTGTATTTTTTGGAAAGACTGGAAAAGTGGATAGACGGAGAACCCAACAGCTCAAAAACGATATCGCCTGTCCTCGAGAAGTTGGATATTTATGTTTGCCCAAAGATTATCTGCTTAGATGAATACCATCCCCATCCTCTTGTTTCCTTACGCATATCTCAGTGCACAGGTCTGGTGTCCATTAAGAGCATACAAGGCCTCACATCTCTTGAATGTTTAGAAATTTTCATGTGTCCCAGTCTTTCAGATATAACCAATTTACCTAACCAGTGTCATTCTTTGAAGACTTTGTCTATTAACAATTATGACAAACTGACTTCCTTGCCTCACGGAATGTTCAACTGTTTTGCCTTCTTAAATGAGTTGACACTTGGTCCGTTCTCAAAGGAGCTCGATTCTTTCCCGAGTCTCCAAGGCATCGAGAAGTTAAGTAACCACCTTCAGTCGTTAGAATTGAGAGGTTGGGATCATTGGGAGTTAATGCCAGAAGAACTACAACACCTCACCTCACTGGCTTTGTTATGCATAAATAGATTCGGAATAAAAGAACTGCCCATGTGGTTAACCAACATTTCATCTATCCGAAAATTGAGGTTCAATAATTGCAAGGGGCTAAATAAAGAAACAGTTAGACGGGGAGCGCCACGGGAAGCCACTGATGTTAGACTAAATTATGGAAGAGTGTTAATTAATTAGTTATTTGAGTGTGTTGGTTGGTGTATATAGATATGTTGTTTAAATCAGATCATTCCTCCTCTTGGCTCTTGCTTAATAATAAACTCTCTTCTAGTTTTCTCCTCCCTTGTGATCCAATTGTACCGACACATTTGTCTTGTCAAGTATAAGAGAAAAGTACAAAACACGGGTAAAAGAACATTATATAAATGTAATACTAAATATCCCAAAACTCTTCTCTCACTTATAACTTACAGCTACCAATTTTTAATCCAGTTGGTCGACCAATTTTGGCAACTTTCTGTTGTGCTCATCATTCTTTCATAATTCATCATTTGACCAATTCATCGCATGATGGCTCTCGTCCATTGTAACTGACATCTACTATACTACTAATTTGTTGTTTTGAAATATACCCTGCAATGCAATCTTACAAAATGATTTGATATCCATGTTATTTGTGTTATTAACTTGGAAAGGTTTATGCAACTCAATTGATGTCCGGTATTATTAGTTCTATTGGTCATAAAGCTAAAGTTTAAGCTCTTGGCCTGTTAATCTAAAAAATTTGAGGGCCACAGAATAAAGCAGAGGGACTGATGCTGTCAAGTGCTAAAAGTTGGAGGTGGCTGAGGATATCAGAAGTTATTAAAAAGCTGTTCCCATATCGATGTGTACAGTCGATGGTCGTATTCTATGCTTCGTTATCTGTTACTATAAAACAAGTGTACAATATAGATTAAAAATTAATTAGATATCTTTCTCATATTTATTGTTTCTATACAAAAATAATCATATCTTGATTAGGAGCAATGTTTAAATTTGTTATTACATGGTCTCATCTCGGCCAACTGGGCAATATGATATTAATTAGGTTGTGGTTTCCTTCTTTAATCTTACAACTCCAGCCTTCTGCCATATCACAAATTATAACAATTGCTATAAGTAAAATGTAATATGATCTACAAACGAATAAAAGCAATGAGTGCTTTACTATAATTTTACCATTTTTAACAACCAATTTAGTAAACAATAGCATAAATTTGTATCAATATGAAAAATGGCTACACAGATAGGCAAAAAAAATCCATTTTTGCTGCATACATTGGAAAAAAGATGCAGCTTCACTACAAAAATAAGTGTTTTGCCATCATATTAAAACAGTTAGAGAAAAAAATCATCCCAAATAGGCATGAATGAAAAGCCATATTCTAGAAACAGTTGGGTATTTATTCAATCTTTAAAACTGCAAACTGAAAGTTAAGTTATTTTTATCTTTGCCAACATGATCTTGATCCTATCAAAGTCATTTCACTTCTTCTGGACAATTAGATTTTTACCCACTTGTTCTTAACATCTGCAATTAATCAATATTCAGGTATCTAACAACCCACAAGAACCTATCAATAAAAAAAAGGATCAATGAACTAAATTAATCAAAAAAGAGAACATCATAAAAAGCATTCTAGACACAGCTTCTTCGATATAAACATACCCATTTACCACACATTTAACAAGATCAAATGTCCTTGGAAATGTGTTGAGCAACATAATTTGTTATTTCCCAAACATTTCTCAAGTATCCTCCGGCTAACTTGAACATGGTAAAGATCAATTAGCTCTGTGAAATTCAAAATGAAACATGGTTACAACAGCCAAAGTACAAATTTGCTCCCTATGAGTCCTAATTTAACCCTTAGCTCAACAAATACAAAATCGAACATAATACTGTAGTTGGGGCTTCTGAAATCACACAAGACAGAGATATGCATGCATATTAAGTAAGAAGGAAATCCAGTAAGCATATTCAAAAAAATCACGTCATTAGAAATATCCTCACTCTAAATCACGAAATCAGATTTGCCGAGATCAGTCACGACATCCAAATGTCAAGTAAAATTGGGAACAGGGAGAACGATCTTACATGATTCTCGATGAAATCTGTAGATGAAAAGGAACGATAGCACTAACATATTTTTTTCGATGTTCGGATGCCTTATCTGCATTGATATAGATGTCATTTGATTTCAGTACCCCTTCTTTTAGAGGCAGCTCTCATTTTGCGAGTCTGTGGACTAACCTTCAACAAATCAAAACCAAATTCAGAACGAAAATCTAGAACTAGAACATAAAATCACAAATTGGTTGACGGAGGTGAGCGCATCACCGAGGATGAGAAGGAAGCACCGGCGGTAGGGTAGCCGAAATCGCCTGAGAGCTAGGGCTCGGAAGGTTAAGAGGGTGTTTGCATTTTGCAATACTTACTAACTCGACTTAATTTTTAAAATGTTTTTAAATGTTCTTTCTTTTTGGCAAGAAGAAAATTGACATTTTTTAGAAATCTGGAATCGTAGATTTTTGATATTTTTGGTGTATTGGAAACATATTTTAAAAACTGTTTTTGGGAAAAATTATGTCAATTTTTTTTTTTTTTTGTGAAAATTAACTTTTTACTCTCAAGCACCGTCTAAGTGGAACCAAAGAAGTGGGAGTTGTCCTCATTTTTGAAATAAATAGGAAATTAAATTTTAAAATTTTAAAAATACTTTGATTAAAGGTTTTAGAGTTTTATACAGTCTTACGTAAAGGGACAATGAATTTAATTTTTGAGTAAATTAAGTAGATTTCATAATGCACATTTAATCATTATTTTTAAAAATTAACTTGGATCATTCATTACATTGTTCAAAGTTGTACGTTTCAAACTGATAGTTTAAATTTATACATATCATCACTTATCAAACATGAAGGGACTATAATGCCTCTTTTAATTTTATTTTTTCAGTTATTAAACATTTTTTATTATTTTTAATTATTAAAAATATTTTTCTATATTGTTGAAAATACTTGATCACCACTACCACTAATTTACACCACTGGAAAACCCACTACAACCACTTAAAGCAGATTCGACTAAAAAACCTCACTAGCACCGACAATAAATTCCTAAATAAAAAACTATTGTAGATTCATGCACAACCCTTCTATCCTCCCTACATACTACATATTTGGCTTCACCACCACCCATTGTTTCTGACCATGTATTCATCGGAAAACCAACATATAGAAAAACCCCCTACTCGATATTGTAGTACGTTATCTACCGCCAGAAAACTTGCAACTGAAATCTATTTATGCATTGAGAAAGACCAACATTGTGGTTGAAATCCTATGTTTTTTCCACCCATCACCGAAGATCCGACACCTTTGTTTTTTTTTCTTCAAGGAAGATTCTGGATCTTACCTTTTTCTGGTAGAGATCTAATACCGGTGGAAAAAATCAAGCAAAAATCGATCCATTGTTGATGGTGCAGAAATGGAACGGTGACGGATTAATGATTAAGGCGATTTAGTTTTGTAAGATATATATGGAAAATGAGATAAGTAGAGGGTCGTTTCAAATATATTTTGGGTCCAGGACGAGAGAAAACAATAAACCCTTAAAAAACACAAATGTCATCAAGCTTTTTATAATAAATCAATAATTAAAAGAAAATTATTTGTATTATCTTCTAAATATAACAATTTCCATAAAAAATTTGGGGCCCTTTAAAAGATGGGTCCTGGACGGTCGTCCCTATCGCCCACCCTCTGGGATGGGCTTGGATAAGTGGCGGTGATGCTAACAACGACAAAGAATGGATCTAAATCAGATGGAGGAGGGCTTTACGATATCTTTGGATCTGCATATAGCATATTAAAGCAACGTTGGTGGTGGTTGGAGAGGTCTAGTGTTGCCGAAAAATGCTTGAAAGAGAAATAGAAGAGAGAATGGTAGCCCGATAAATAGAGAAGAAGAGGGCAGGGTGAGAGTGTTGGAGATAAAGATGGGATAGGGAAGGGGTGGGTGGGACTAAAAGTGTAATTTACTCTTATTTTTTATAATAAAAAATTCAATAACTAAAAAATAAATATAAAAGAAATCAAAAAAGAAATAAATAAGGGCAAAATTATCTTTTTATGTCCGGGGATGTAAGCGGGTAACTTTTAAACAAACAAGGAACAGTCCAAATTAAATTTTGAAAATAGGAACCAAACGTACCTTTTGGCACTTACACGAGGGACAATTAGAATAATTTACTCTTAATTTTTTTTGCCAACTATTATTTAATTCATTATGTACGGTGTAACAGAACATCGTTTGTAAGTAATATAAACAAAATTATATCTTAAGAAAATTAATATAAATAAATGAATATAAAAATAAATTTTGTAAGAGACCAAACATATAATTTTTAAATATACTAAAGGACCAAAATCATAAATTACAAAATACAATAATTAAACTTTAAAATTATAAACATAAAAACCATTAGATAAAATTTACTTGAAGGAAAAAAATATGAATATTAAAACGTGCTATTTTCATAAATAAATTCTGTATTTCTAAATAAAAAGTTATTTTAAAACTTGTATTATATAATATCAAAATAGTAAGTTGATTAAAATTTAAATATATATGCTCTAGAAATAACAACAGTAAATACTTTTCTCAAACTCAGTGAGTGAGTGTGTATGTGTGTGTGTGTGTGTGTATATATATATATATATATATATATATATATATATATATATATATATATATATTATACTTTATAAAACATTTTTAGTCAAATTGTCACAACTAGAAATTCTATGTCTTGTAATCACTATACTCAATTAAATGTTGAAATCAAAAACTCAAAAACAAGTATGATGTTTACTCAATGGGAAGCTAAACCCCAATTCACTACATCAAACAATTGGAAAACCCTAGAAGTTCTTGTTAAGTCTATTTTGGACTAGAACTTCCTTATTGGATCCAAAGGGACCAATAAGCTTCCAATTGGACTATCATGGGCTTAGAACCCTAATTGGGCTCTAATTGGACCCACATCTATTTATTTCAACATTGTGAGCCATGTTGGACCTAGAATGGAATAAATACAAAATTTTGAACCATGATTAACTTAAACTAGCCCAACAAAATGTAAAAATCATACTATACTTCTTTTGGGACTAAAAACCATTCAACTTAACAT